CGGGGAGGAGCTCGGGGACGTGCCCAGCCCGGAGCTCGACGTCGGCTGCAGGTGCTGGGGAAGGATTTCTTCCACTTCAGCGCTGTAGTCATCGACGTCTCCTGCAGAACACACCCCAGGGGAGAAACACACATAAAAATGAGATCTTGTGAAAGAAAAGCCCCCAGGTTCCAAGGAATTAGCTCAGCAACCAAAGTGTGATTCTCACATCCCAAAATTACACATGAAGAACACAAATGTCTTCAAACTAGCTGAAAATACTTCAAGTGTGTAATATTTATTATAGATATATATTAAAGGTAATTGTAACAGTGTGGCAAACGTGAAGTTGATTAATCTACGAAACAATTATCTTCACAGGTTATTTCCTTGGTTTGCAATACGACAAGCTTCACTGCTCTTCAGAAGGCTGGGCAGGGGATTTCAAGGTATCGGTTATTTGTAACAACTTGTGCTTCCAAAGGTGGAACGGTGTTTAAAAAAAACAGGCTCAACATAGATGAGCTTTTGAAAAGTAAACTGTCAATTTTGAGTATCTTCAGAATATATTTAAATGTAGATGAGAGTGAAGCAGATTGTCGAGATACTGTTGTAAATAATGTGATTTCTAATCTGTTTTAGATATATATTTATATACGCATTAAATTACCACATCATTCAGGACTGTAAGCATTTCAAAGTGAGGAATGCTTTATCTCAACAAACCTTCCATGTCATAGTCTGCAGTAACCTCAGCATCTTCACAAAGCAAAGTGGAGCTTGTGGATGAAGGCAGCCCAATATTAATCTTCTCTAGATTCATTTCATCTTCCAAACTTCTGATCCAATCTGGATTTTTCAAGTTGATATTTATAATCTTTCCTTGTAGCTGAATTGCCAAAAAAGGTATGCACAAAACAGAAGTTGTTTAGAGTAGGAATGTTAAAGCTCAGCAGTTTAGATTTAAAAAGAAAAAATTCCTGAAAATATCACAAATAAGGTTATAGGAATTTCTGTGACTAAACAAAAATAATTCTGATTTTCACTTCATTTTGGTAGGTAACTACACTTAAGCAATTTAAACTCTTCATTACATTAAACCATTTAATTTTTTTTGTAGAAAAACTAGCAACTCCTACGGTTCTCCTTCTCAGTTAATCGGGAAGCTTCTGGTTTTTTTACTCTGACACTTACTTACAAAGAAAAAGAGACTTGCTTATAAACTACATGAAGCAAGTCATTTTTAGAGGCTGGCACAGAGCAGGTCCTCATTCTGTAAAGTGACATTCTACCCAGAGCCCCTTTCCTGTCTGACCTGCCAGTGGTATCTCAGCAGACCCAGGGATCCACCTGCAAACATCACACATTCCAAGCCTTAACAGCCACACACTAGTCAAAATTTAAACATCAGAAGTTAAATTTTCACAAGGATTAAATACTGACCCCACAGAAGTCAATGCAAGCTGAAATTTTGACACCTTTCAGAGTTAGTAGAACAGAAGCGCTAAATTTTTAATAACTGCAGGCTATAAAGATTTTTAACTGGTTAATTCAAGGAACTAAACTCTGCTTTTTGAATCATAAAAGACCTCAAACCCATCATTTGATGAATATCCATCCCAAGAGCTCCTAATTTATTTTTAGGAGGATATTGTTAGAGAACTGAGGTTTGATACTTCTTTTATATGGCTTTTGAAACTCAACATATGGTATGTTGCTACCGAGAGGAAAAAAACAAAGATGCAAAAGTCTAGTACAGAACAGAAAAAAATTGTAAGAGTCAAACCAAAACAGTAAATCCAACCCACTAAAGAAGACTTTAAAAAGCTGGATTTTCTCTTGCTATACAAAGATTCAGTCCTTTTTACATTACCTCAGTACCATTCAAATTCATAACATTCAGAGCAGAGCTTCCTTCCAAAAATGTTACCCACATCTTGTCTTCCACAAACCTGCAAAGTTCATTGGGAACAATAACCACAAAATACCACAACACTTCACAGTACAATTGCTAGCCTAGTGCAAATGCAACATCCTCATTTTCAGTTTAAAACTACTAACCTAATTCTAGAACACAACATTTGTATAAAGATCTCGAAAATAAGAGTATCTGGAAAAATCATGTCTGAAAACTGAGACACACAAAAATGAATTCTAAAGACACTTAAGTACGCAAAATGAATTCTAAAGACACTTAAGTTGAAATTCAAATGCTAAAAATTAAACAGATCATACCTGAAAAGTTATTTCCTACCTAAGGAAACAACTTTATTTAGGATGATCCCTTTGAACCCAAACATTTCCATGAGTCTACAAGCAGAGATTAAAAGCAAGAAGTTTTTTAACCTTATAAGTATAACTTCGCCATAGCTTGCGAATTTTTGAAGAAGATCATCGATCAAGTTATCATCAAAATAGTTTTCTTCAGCTGAAGAACTGATGGAGACCATCACAGTGCCATCAGGGGGACCTTGCGTTGCAATCACCTCCTTGTACACTTTCTGTCTCTCTTCCGCTTCAATTTCAAATATGTCAATGTCAATCAGTGCAACCACAGGCCTTGGAAAAAACAGACAAGAAAATCCTGTCAGCAGAGTATCTGAGCAACAAAACACACAGCATGGGCATTCAATCTCAGGGAGCGGTGTAGGAAATGGAATTGGAACCTGTGATCAGATGTTTTCAGCTCTGCTCTCCCGTAGTGCAGCAAAGTGCCAGGGTTCCATGTGTAAGGGACATTAGTGTCACTGTGGAAACTGGCATTCAGGAGATCCAGGTCTTCAGCTGCAACCAGCAATGACAAAGGAGGAAAAACACAGTGATTGCAAGGATGTGCTAATTGTAAACAGAAAACACAGGAAGTAAATCCAAATAGAGTGTCTTATAGCAAAACCCCTGCTCAAAGTTCCTTTTCCACTCCTCAGATGTCAGTAAGTGGGATCTGATTCACGGCCCTTTCTTTCAGCCTCACTGTGTTCACAGAAGGTCTGCTACCAGTGTGCTGTGTCCTACCAAGCCAGGAACAGGAGCTCAGCATCACTGGCATTGTGAGCATCCCTAAATGGATCCTCTGAGTCACGTAAAGAACGTTTCAGACAGCTGAAGGAAAGCCTCAAACCTGATCGGTCAAAGGGCCATTTCCTCCTCCTCCAGAGGATCCGGTCCGTCCACGCCGGTGTGCGGCACTTCTCACTCGTGTCGTAGTCATCAGAGAACAGGTCATACTTGTACGTGGGGGCAAAATTGATCTTCCCTTCCAGAAATCCCCTGAAAATCTGTACCAACACAAGGGAAACAGCTGAAACCAACCTGAGTTCTCTATGCTAACACTGACAACCTGCATAAACACCTCAAAACACAATTTAAAAACCTGCTACTTGTTAAAACAGATTCCTCTCCACATTTTATCTGCTGAAAACATTTGACACTGTGACTAAACACATTTGACACTATGACTAACCAGTGACCCAGACAATCACCAATGAACAGAAGTAGGCCAGCAGTTACATCTTGAAGCCCAGGGTTAGGAATGACCTACTGTTCCTTCAATGTCATGACCGACTGGAGGTCACCCAGAACATTGATGCTGTAACACAGCACTTTATTCTGCTGCTTATTGGTTCCTGGGTCAGCAAAAGTGGGGAATTCAGGCGCACATTTTATGGTTTATATCTATCTGAACATGCCAAATTCTCCCATAAATTCACAGACACACACTGGTTGGGGTGGGAAGGGACCCTAAAGATCATCCAGTTCCATGCCCTTGCCATGGGCAAGGATGCCATTCACCAGACCAGGTTGCTCAGGGTGCCATCCAAATTCTTCCAGGAAAAAGCTGACACAAGTTGCCCCATCAAATAAATAGATTTAAAAAAAAAAAAAAAAAAAAAAAAACCACAAGAAGACTCCTTAATACATTCAATCTATCCCAAATGAGCTTCTCACTCATTAAGTGTTTAAACTGGACACAAAATAAAACCCTTTAGCTAATTCAGTCAGCTCTAATGGGCATCTTTCCTTCACTTCAAAAATGTGTAAAATAGAAATCTAACTTGGATCTTACAGTCAAATCTGCACCAAGCAGCAGGCTGCCCTGTTTCTCTTGCTGGAAATACAATTTAAAATCCAGTCAATTTAAAAGTCAATGTCAGAAGATCAGTGTCAGAATGCTGGAAGCTTCACAACTTCTGAGACAATTAATTTGGCTTCAGTAATTGTTTTCTAACCTACTTTAATGGAGCAAGCTGCTGTGTTAACACCTTTCCTGAGCAGCAGGAACAGATGTGAACCTGCCCCGACAGGGACAGAGCTGGTACTCAGCCAGCAGTTCCCAAACCATGGGATATCACCCCAACAGGGAATGCTGCTCCTGCTCCCCAGCCAGAAGTCCTTTCCTGGCAGTTCCATGTTCTGGCAGTTTCCATAGATTTGTCCAGCTCTCTAAGTGCTGGAGGCGTCTCCACAACCTCTACACATCATGTTTTGATCCACTTGACAGACCATGTGACAAAGAGACTGCTGTCTGACCGCGTGAATGTACACTTGCTTTCTGTAAACAGCTGTTAAACAAACAACTGAGTGACTAAAAAAATCCAGTGTTTTGCCTCCTGTTCTGGTGCACAAGATCCCAGCACAAATGGAAAGGAAATCAGCAAAGCCTAAATCAGCAAAAGCACTGCTTGTGATCCAAGTGCTAGTGAGCAGACAGGACCAACAATTGAGGATTGTCTCTCGTTTTACCATGTCCAACCTTCCCACACAGAGCTGCAGAGGGGGAGCAAGAAACCCAACAAATGTAAAAAATGTAGCTTTCTTCACACTTGGTTATTCCGTGTTTGCTTTGCAAATAAAGCTACCATTTGGACTAGTCCTTTTCCCAACAGTAACAGCATTAGGCCTAGTACAATATAACTACAGAGTAACATTACCAAACATCTTGAATAGTTACATCTCACAAAAGAAAAATATTATAATTAGCAAACTCCATGCTGAGGATACAGATTTACAGGAGCATCAGAGCAATTGCTAAAACCAGTTATAAAAAGGAAGTATTCTCAAGTCTGTGACATTTGAACACACCTGCCCAGAGTTTTTCTGGTTGATGAGCTGGTCTCCTGCTATGAGGGGATCCCAGTTCTGCTGTCGGATCAGCTCCTTCACCTCCTCATTGGGCAGATCTATTCGATAATTGAAGTCCCCACACCAAAAAATGTAGTCATGGGAGAAGAGCATCCTTCCCTGCAAAACAGCAGCACACACTGGAGGTAAAGCAACGACTGACACATTTACTGCTTCCAGGTTCAGAAACTCAGGTTTTTGCTGTGAAATATGTATCATTTCTGGGTGATGAAGACAACTGAAACACAGCCTAGTATTCATGTCCCTATGGTTACAACAACATGATCAACAGCGTGGTGTTAATATATCGAACACAAGAGAATTGACATTTCCTATGGAGTTGCCATTTCTAAAGCAACACGACTCAAGTCAATTGGATTCTAAAACTCTTCATCTTCCTCCCTCTTGTTTCAGAAGCCTGCTCAAAGGTGATGGCTGCTGCCTGTGACAGAGGAGAACAAAACACTCCCTGGGACTCTGTAACACAGTCTCCTGACAAACTGCAAATCCAGAGCTTTACCATTCACATTTAATTGAAGACTTTTCAGTTCCATCTCATTTTCATCACTAGAGAGACATCAGGGCTTTATTACTTTAAACAAAGCCCAGATTTTCGAGTGAACTTTTACTTCCCCCTTTGTTTTGATTTTTCCACTGCCCATAAGTAAAACCAAGCAGATACACTGGCAGATTGAAACAACAGCATTTAGGAAACTGTTGGATACTTGATAGGAAAACTGTAACATGACAGTGGGGACAAATTTAGAAAATAAAAACTCTGTAAGATAAGATGTAAAACTCCTGCCCAGTGCCACAGAAATTCACAAATTTAAGTTTGATGGCAAAACTTAAAACAGCTTTAAGTCTCAAAGAAGCATTTTGTTGCACTGATAACAGTTTCAACTTGGCAATTTGATAATGAGAACATGGCATGGAATAATTCCTGCCATGTACTGAGAACAGGGATGTTTTGCAGGGATTTTTCCTCATAGGTGATTGTTTCCTGTGGCTACCAAAGTTCTACTGCATGTCAGGGATCTGTAAGGTCTCTTTCCTACATCTAGTCCTTGATTTCAAACGCAAGTGAACTAATGTTCCATCATGGCAAGGTCTGTTCTTTCTGCAGTGTTCTGTTTTAATAAACACTGTAGGAGCTCAGTTATCTCTGTGATGTCTAACCCGAGGAAATCTGATTACCACAGTAAACTGGGGAAAGGGAAAAATGCAAATGGAGCTTCGGGATGACACTGCTGGGGCTCCAAGGGTTTCACTTTGCATTTGTTATGGAACTTGAACACAGCACTTACCATTGGAAAGCCAAGCTTGCGAGAAATCTCTACAAAGTCTTCATTTCTCTCCTTGACCTGGGACTGGCCTGCAGCAAAGTGACTGCACACAAAGCAAAGGCTGGAGGTGTGGAACAGCATCCGAATGGCCACGGCCCCCTTGTTCCCCGTGGCTCCTCCCATGCCAGTCTTGACAGTATCCACAGCAACATCCCTGCAACAGTGGAACAGCTGTTAAACCTTCCAGGAGCTGGCACAGCTGGGTCTGAGTGTGACAGACACACTGTTCTCCCAGCCACAGGCTGGTTTTAAAAAGTCCCAACAGTCACTGAGCATTGACAAGATACAACCTCAGCTTTCCAAGCTCTCTGGGCATTTGAGAAAAGAACCTTAAGAACTACTTCAGCAGAAGGGGGAACAGCTCGCCCAGAGCCCCACAAAGCTCTGAGGACGTTTGGGGGTTATCTCCCAGCACGAGGCACGCTGAGGGTGACCCAGGCTCACTGACCTGATAAAGGGAGCGTGCTGGGGCCTGATGAACACAAAGAGGCAGACGCCCACCAGCTGCTCTGAGGCCAGCAGCACGTACTTGTAATCCCTGGAGATGGTCTTCTGCAGCTCTGCAGCCCAGAGCTTCTGGTTCGTGGTGCTGGCAGGGAGATTAAAAACACCAGGTTGGGAATGAACCAAAGTGAGCAGGTTTGAGCTGGTGACTGAGCTGAGCTACATCCAAGGACCTGAAGCAAACCTTGAGGCAGTGAACCAAAGCCAAGCTGGGAATGGTGCTCAGATGCCTCCCAGCAGAGACACAAGCTCCAGGCTGTCATGGCATCATTGTTACCAGTTCAGTCTCTACACAGACTGCCTCACTGTGCTGTAGGAGCCATGGCTAGCTTGGCTGTATTTACACACCGAGACTACAGGGGGAAAACCTAAGGATTGTTTTAGAGAGTCACTCCTAGCCTAGAGCTCAGTCAATACTGGAAAACAGGTAGCACAGTCTTAGATCAAGAAAAACATGAAAATATGAAAAATATCAGGCCTGCAAAGAGCATTAACTACACAAAGGGTGAAATGAGGGGTTACAAGCAGACACCTGGTGCCCAACAAAGCTCTGCACAAAGGCTACAGTATCATAGGCTGTATGTGCTCTTTCCAATGAGTTAAACCTTCCCTAACACCGGGAAACACACAAAGCAGGCAGAGAAACCAATGGACACAGGGAATATGGTCCCGGGACTACACACACTGGATATCTCTGGTAACAGCCACCACTGGGAAAAATGTATTTACATGACCCTAGTCTGCTAGGAGTGAAAAATGCCAACTCCACAGTAATGCATCCATGCAATACATGGAATGGCAGTGCAAACTAACAGTATGCAAGGCAACCTTCCTTTGTACAGATCACAACCTGGTACATAACAGCACTCCAACAACACATGCTTTGGGAAAGATGTTCACAGGATTTGCTGTTAACAGCGATACCAGACACAGCAACTGAAGAGCACTGCAAGTGCTGGAGAAACCACAATTTCAAATAACATATGACTAGAAAAATGTGATTATCAGCAAAACAAGTAGTGTGTGGATTGGATCACCTACCTGGCGTTCACAATGTTTCCTGCATTTAACTCCACCATTTCTTCAAATCCAATGGCAAATATATCCACAGGTTTGTTTTTGCGATCTTGAGGTAAATAGGGAAAGAGTTATTTCTTGTTTCTAATTAACTCAACAATTAAGACCTCATCCATCTATAAATACTCATACATATATTCATTTCAAGGAAAAATAATCCTTCCTTGGAAAGAAATTCCTCCCTGTGAGGGTGGGCAGGCCATGGCACAGGGTGCCCAGAGCAGCTGTGGCTGCCCCTGGATCCCTGGCAGTGCCCAAGGCCAGGCTGCATGGGGTTTGGAGCAGCCTGGGACGGTGGAAGGTGTCCCTGCCCATGGCACAGGTGGCACTGGGTGAATTTTAAGGTACCTTCCAACACAAACCAGTGTGGGATTCTGTAAAATTCCAGTTGTCTCAAAGAAGCTTATAAATAAATGCAGATTTTGTAAGGTGTTTCTCTGGCAGGGGGTGGAGCTGCATCTTTACCGTCCCTTCCTACACAGTTCTACAGTTCTGTGATAGCCGTTTCTGTGTTTGTGATCTCTGTACAAAAATCAGATCTTTCCAGTAAAAGTAATGGCAGAACACAGATGCTACCTTGGAATTCATGGATCCCAGCCAACTTGGGTGCATCCAGCAGCCAGTCAGTGAGGGTTTGATTTCTGAAGGCAATGCTGCGGAACTGCTTCCCCCCGTTGACGTTCCACGTCCCCACACACACCCGGATCTTCTTGGGTTTGGCGTACTTGTAGAAGTTCTCACACATGCTCTTCAGCACTTTCACAGATGCTGCAAGAACATTGGAAAAGGCATTCGTTTTATAGAGAACGTTCCAGAAAGCTGGCACTGAGATCTGCCCAATGCACGTGCACAGACAAAGCTAAAGTGCGAAAGCACAGGGAATGCAGCTTGCCCGGGGGAGAGTACCCTTAGGGACACACACTGCTGACTGAAAACCAGCAGCAATTGGTTCAGAATTATATAGAGACAAATGATACACGAGGAAACAACCCCCATGTTTCATAAATATCTGCTGTTCTTTCATCTCATCCATGACTTTCTAGGGAAGCCATCATTTTCTGTACATATCTGGCTCATTTCCACAGATTAAATTAATGAAATCCAATCTCTGTTACAGAACCAACATGCACGTATATTGATTCCCAGCAGGGTAAAAGTTGCTGATAACATTACAAGTACTAAAATAGAGAAGGTACATTATTTCATCATATTAGAGTATGTCTATTAAGCCACAAATCTGAATTCTTTTTAGATCAGTTGAATTCCTGAAGAGCTGCTTTAGTGAGGACAGTAGGCTGGGATTCAAACAAATTAAACTCATTTCTCTGTCCCATCAGCCCTTCCCTGTGCCGTGTTTTTATCTGCCAAATGAAGAGAGAGCAATGACCCATATGTGAAGGACACTGTGAGAAACACAGAAAGGAAAAAGCTGACTCAATGCTCAGGTACTTTACCTCAGTTGTAATAATTTACCTATTTTGAACGTTCTCAAGTTATCTGACTCCAAAAGAAAAATTTAAACAATATTAGAGGGAATTCTTCCCCTCACTTGATGCTGTCTTGAAAAATAGTTACTGGGAACAGCATTTCCATTTAAATTCCCCAAATAAGATGATTAGTGAGCTGCTGCTGTCTTTTCAGTCACTCTTGGCTACCTGGTCAAAACAAAAATCAGGTATTCTCTCTCCCTACTGGGTTTGAAAAAAAACTGGGAGCAAGAGAAGGAAATCTATTGTGTTTGTTGGCTGGGAATGCTTTCCCTGCTCAACAAATCACACCCATAACTAGGCCAAACACACAGAAAACAAAAAGGACTGGTTGGCATCTCCCTGCTGCTCCAAGCTGATCATGCTCAGGATCATGCTTTCATCAAAACCCAGGGAAAAGAAGTCTAGGAAACAGCAGTGAGCCAACAGGATCATTGAGCCCTCCAGGCACGAGGGTCTGAGAGCCCAAACACGGGCTCTGCTCCTGCCCCACACTGCAGGTGACTCCAGCCAGGAACTGGACACCTGCCCAAAAGGCCACAGAGGGGGGAGGACAGGAGCCACCTCAGCACCCAGCCCCTGAAGGGAAACAATCCCAGCAATGCTGCAGCCACAGCACATCCAAAACCCAACTCATCCCAAGGGCTGGCTGGAAGCACAGCAGGAAGCCCAGGAACCCAGAGCAGCCGTGCAGCCCTGCAGAGAAGAGCCCCTGCAGCACTCTGAGCCACTTTAACAGCACAGTCTGCACATTGCTCCTCTGGGGTTCCATCTTTTTATGCTGAAAATTTACTGGGTCTCCGCCTCACTTTAGTCACTCCAAATCATTCAGTTGCTACTGAGCAGCTTTTAAGAAAAGCTGCAAAATTTCATTATTGCCTATTTAACCCCTGATGTTGTCATGAGACCCTAATGTGAAAAGCCTTACCAGGTTAGACTCTAACTTGAAAAGTGAACTGACAACAAGCTTATCACAAACAAAAACTTTATTTCTTCAAACTAGCAATCTTCCTAAATTGTAGAATGATTGTTTTATATAAATTGGAGTAATTAAAAATAAAAATTTCTACTTATTTCCAAAATATTGAGTGAACCACGTGCTTTTCAGAGCACCTGAGACCATGATTTTCCTACTTATTTCTGGTTATTCATCTTTTCAGCAAAATTGTGCCTCACTCTACAACATCAGAAATCCAATCAGTTACAGTTTCTGTTATTTGCAGAAAAAATACTTTGACTGCTGCTCTCCTAGACAAGCAGAAATTTGGAAATCAGTTTTACAAAGGGAGTGTAATTTAAAATTGTTGGCAATATTCTGTTGCAACTGAATGGAACTGTTGGAACTTGATGGAACTGTTTTACTGAAACATCCAAATTCCTGTAGGAATATTTCAATACATGCAATTCGTATCCAGCTGAAACCCTGAAATGCTACAAAATAGTTGATTTATAACTCTTACCAAAAAATCTAATTCTAATAAGTAACAAAAATTAGACACAAATAGTAATACCAACAGTAATTGATAAATATATTTAAAAATAGCTGGCTTTTCTTCCTGAGCTCTAAGATAGAAGGCAATAGCATCAGTGAGTGTGAGCAGTAATTCCAATGAGCATTGGTTACACTGACAAGATGCCAGTGAATCACTTAATATCAGACCTTGCCTGTGGCTAACATTTCATTCTTTACATACTCACTGAGAGTTAAGCAGGTGGAGTAAAACACAGGAAAAGCAAAACTGGCCAACGAAAAGGCCATTTAAATTTTCTCAACACCCAGTAAATTCTGCATAGATTTTAGAGCATTAGGAATATTTCAGTTTGGTTTCTGGGAACAAGAACAGTAAGTGCTGCACAGCTGACAAGTGTCCTGCATGAACACAAGCAAGTGGAACCTTCTAGCAGCAAGTAAGATGAAATTACACACTGTACTGGAGAATTTCACCTCTTATACTAAACAAAGCAGAAATACAGAAGCCTCCAAATCCGATAAAGAGGAAAATTCCTTTGCAGCTGGGGCATGTGCAAAAAATAAACCCCTGCAAATCAGCTGCCTCATTTCCTAACTCACACCCAAGCTCAAATGCAACATTTTCACCTCTTACACTCTCACTTTTATTGGACTAAAGGATGTTAGGGCACAGGAATGCCAGATCCAAACACCACCAGGAAAATGTGAGCCCACAGCCCAATATCACACAGACGCACGAGAAGCCAGAGGACAGCAGCAGCTGCTCAGGGATTTACAGCTTATTTTACTGTGCTATACTATACCTGATTGCAATGATTGCTCTGAAACTACGGATGCAGTAAGAGGGAAACAAGAAAAGATTAGTCAAGTAAGTTACTGCTTTTTAGGATTTTTCAGCAATGTGTGAGAAAACATGCTGTTAATACACAATTTATTACACATAACCATTGGCATCAGTTAAGGCATATGCTTTGTGCTGCAAAAACTACCCAGTTTCACAAACCAGGGTTAGCAAATCCTCTTCTCCCTCACTAACAACGGATTCACACATGTTGGGGTACCCCTCTGGTTAACCTGGCACCTAGCACAGAATGCAGGGAGATCTCAGGCCAGAGGGATTAATGCTCCTCAGCCCTCAGGAGCTGCAGACACAGAAAGGATGGCTTGCATTCCCAGATAAAGGGACAGGAAATGACAACAAATTGTAACTCATTTTGAACTGAGGCCCATTCACCAGGTTTCAGGTATAAGGAAAAAAAAACACAATAACCTGAAACCTTGTGCTAAACAAATGGGACAAAACTACTCCCTCAGCCTAAACATTGGATGAAGATGGGGACCCTCAATATGAGGCTACAGCTGGGCAACTATTTCCCTCTTGAGCCAGAAATTTGCACTGGAGCTTTGACATACTCTTCCTCATTCTAACATGTGTCTGGGAGAAGGAAAAAAAAAAACAAAAGGAAAATTTAAGAACGTTTTCCTAAAAATTGCAGTAACCCAGAATATTATTACCTGGGATCTTGGAAAGAAGACTCAAATTTCAGTTCCTTCTCTGCCCAAATATGAGCTCCTGTAGCTTTGATGTCCCAGGAGAGGGCTGGACACAACCCTGTGACTGACCCACTATTTTCTTGCAGAGAATGGGACTGACTGCAGTTCTGGGGCCACAGAGGCTACACCTCTTTGGGGATGCACTGACACCCTGGGCTCATGAGGGGAACCCCCTTCCTGGTACAAAACCCCCAACCCTCACGTGGCTGCCCTGCACAAGCAGAGCTCCTCATTGAAATCTGTCTGGTTTTGATGTAGAACTTGACCCAAAAACCACAAACAGGTAAAGCAATTTCTGCAGCACGTTAGTTCGGCACTATTAGTAAAGCAGAAGTAACTTGCATATTTTAATAAGCCAAGAGAACATGAAAAAGCATTTATACTTTCCAACAGTGCTTTGAAAACAAACTCAATACAGCTTTCTTACAGCAATAGTTATGAGAGATGAAAATCCTGAAAGACACATACCGCGTAAACTGCTGGTGGTTAACAGAGCCCGTGCTTTATCTGCTAAATCACTATTTAGGGTATTTCCCAACAACAAAACATCAATGGCCTCCTGCTTGGAGCTATCAAAAAAGTTATTTTGGATCGTTCTGGTCACAGAACGAGCACCATCCTTCAGCTTCCCAGCCTGTTGGGGAGGAACACGTATAGAATATTTTATGTCGGACACTGCTCACAATACATTGGCAATATTCAGTAATATATGCAAACTGTGTTAATGATCTTAAGGGCTAAGGCAATTCTCTTCTTTAAGTGTAAAATCAAGTCGTCTGAGCCTACTGGGCTACATGTGACTCCCCCCACCCCCAGCCCAGATGCTAAAAAGCACAGTAATACCTACAAAGCGTAGCTAACAAGCAGATTGAAATTAAATGAAATAAAATTAAACAAAATAGTGCAGGGAGGGGAATTTTTTTTTCCCTAAACCCTAGCTCTTTAAAAATTAATTTGCTATAGTGCCATGTTTAGACCATGACAGGGATTTTGGGCTTTTCCCCAAATAGTGAGAAATGAGCAAGCACTCGGATCCAAATGCCATGACACGTGAATGTACATGTTTATGCACTCAGGAGTTCAGAATCCACATTCTGGAATACCCATGTTAAAACCAGAGAGAACTTCGACTTAAGACCGCCCTTAGCTTGTTGCAATGACATGCAAGTGTCATGCAGCATCCCAGAAGGAGCACAGGCACTGACCCGTGGCCACAGACACGGGTTCTGCTCACTGCGGCCTGACTGAGCTGCAGCCCAGAGAAGCAGTGTCCTACACCTGGGCTGAACAAGGGTCTGCAGGGAAATGTGCTGCTGAGGCAGATGTACCTGGGCTCACACACACCTAAAGGATAATGTAACTAACACAGAACGCAGTCTGGCGCTCAGTCCCAAACCTGGCAGTGCTGACTGGGCACACACAAACACCTGGTGCTGCATGGGCTCCATCAGGGATGCTGCAAGGATTGTGTTGTTCTAGAAAGTACTCCCAAGTTGACAGCTTGCACTGTCCATGAGTCTCTTAAATGCATGTGGAAAGAAGGCAAAAGCTTAACAAAACTGCCCTGGGATTTAGTTCTGAACTAGGCAGCAAGACAGAAGCTGCTCTTTTGGCAAGGCTAAGTGGCTTGGGCACACAATGGCGATGTGCTGTGGGGAGCACTCTGTGCAATAGGATTGCGATAGGATGCACTCCCTCCCTGGCAGACAGTGGGCATGGGTGTGGGGAGCACTCATTACAACACAATTTTGGTAGGATGCACTCCCCTCCCTGGCACACAACGTACAACTGGTGATCCAAAAATCCACACTCACCATCCACATACCAGGCAATTAATTGAAAGGAACCCCGAGAAAGCAAAGGAAAGAGCAGGTAAGGAGTTAGATGGAACAAGTATTACAATACTTTTAGAAGAACTGGTTTGCAGTATAGAAAGATATATTAACACACCTAAGGTTAAAATAATTTTCTCTCATGTGAAATTTCTCTATTTTTACTTGTAAGTACTCTTGGGCTTTGAAGAATCAAACTGACAAGTAGGAAATAGAACAATTTTAGGCATCAAACTTTTCATTTGAGAAATGAGAATGCAACTTAAAAACTACATTTTAAAATATACACTCAAAGTACTCAAAACATACTGAGTCAGGTTTAATTGAAAGAAGAGCAAGTACAAGTGTATGGTTTTGCAAGCATTAAAGATGCTCTTTGAATAGACTGGACTCATGTCAGAGATGTGGGATTTGATTTATGAGATGCAGTACTAATTAAGAGTTGTTCCAGGCCAGGGATTCAGAATTATTCCAAAGACAGCAGAGTAAATGTACTGTGGTGGTTTAACCAACTGAAACCAGGACCATCTACTCTGCGTTTTGAACATTAAAAATGGCAATATATTAAATGCATCTTTTAAAGTAAAAAAAATACATCTATGTAGCCAAATGAACTAGATTAAATGTATATTTATTAATTTAGGAAAAGGAATGAAGGTTGAATGGCAAAGCCAAGACAAGGGGAGACACTCCATAAAATACTTACTGCACTTTGCCTGGCAGTCTAGGTGACATTTTTGTAAGAAAATAAAACTAAACATCTTGCACCAAATTCCATTCAACAGTAAAATACAAGCAATTCCCAAATGAAGAAGTCTGGTGTGCACCAGCCAAGGGGCAGAACAAGTAACAAGTTGATTTGGTAACTTTGTTTTTATGTATTTTGTGGCGACACCTCCTACATGAGCAGAGAAGGACCCTGGCACAGAGTGACTGAACAAATGATGGAAAACCCAGAAGAGCTGGCTGTGGGTACATGGGCTGTGACATGGAATGAGGCGCAGCACATTCCTGAGCAGAAAGAACAGGGTGAAAAGACATTCTTGAAGGAACTACGGGCAAAAATTGCTACGAGCCAACATTTGTCTTGACAGGTGTCTGGCAAAGGACAGGATTGGGGAAACAAAGAAGCAACATTGGGAGGAAAACAACAAAAAGGCAGCATTAGAAAATGGGAACAAGTCAGATATCAACCCAGACAAAACAAGCTGAAGAGAAACATGACACTGTCATGGAGCATGGAACTGTTCTAACAGCCTTAAAAAGCAGGGTGGAAACAAAACCTGGGGTTTTTCGGTGACTGCAAAACTAAGAAGAAAAAGCTGGACAAACACACAAACAAAACCCACCAGGCTACAACTGGATTAGTATTAACAGTATTAAACACGAAAAACACGAACAACATCCCATCAAACACACTTGACAAGGAGATACAGTGAATGGAATCAAAATAATAGCAGGAGAGGTACAGAGAGAAAAGTAAAAGTATTCAAAGAAACAAAAGCTGATTCGAACATACATTTTCCTGAGCTATGTTCTAAAGAAATGGAAGATTTCAGAATTATCCAACAGAATAGTGTTACGTGGGAGGCAGGAGCATGGCTAGGAAGGGATGTACAGGAAGGTGACCTGGTTAGCAACAGAACCAACCATTCAAATTAATTTTTCTGGTTGGTTGGGTTTTGTTTGGGATTGTTTTAGGATTACAAAGAGCAGCTTTTTGAAGATAAAAACTCATCACTGCTAAATTAATGGCAGAATTCATTCAAACCCATACTGAACACTGGTGAAGCATTTGAGAAGATGTACTTTACCTTTGCTTTTCCTTCAAGGGCTCCAGTTCCAGCATAGATCTTACTGACAGAATCCCCATTGACAGACCACATGGATCGGAAAACCTCCTGGAAGCGAGTCACTAACTGAGGCTTCTCAGCCAGCCCCAGCACCTCCAGCTGCTTGGTTAGCATCTGTAACAGGGGAACACAGCATTAGCAAAAAACCCAGCAAACCAAAAACAAAAAATAACCCCACTTCAAATACATTTCTTATAAGGCATGTCGTGTTTTTCAGAAGATATGCATAAACCCCCACAAATCCTGTGGGTTTATATGTCTCATTCTGAGCAAACTGTCAGCACAACATGCTTGAAAGGCTGCATCACCCATGTAATTCAGCACCAACACTGCATCTTCCTTTGAAGATAGGCAGTAATGCAGGAAAAAAATTACATAGCTGATTTGTAAATGTTTTCACATTGAAGTTGACCAAACTAAACACAAAAGCCATTTTCAAGAGCTTTTACAAATCTTTAAAACCTTAGGGTGTGTGACAGAAGGAGAAGGAGCCTCAAATAACAGACACAGAATGGCAAAGGCACAATTCTGAAGGCTGGGCAACAATTCACAAAAGATGCAAAAGGAAACTTGCAAAACAAAATTAAGAAATAGACAAGAAGTTTTAGAAATTGGGTGCTTGCTCTGGTAATTTTAGGGCGTCATCTAGAGTTCAGTACCTGTTACTTTAAGTATTACTGTCTTCAAGAAAGCATTCATATATCTCATTTAATAGCATTTTAAATTTAAGTATGCAGTTCCTCAGGATTAGCCATTTCCCTTATTAATTAGTTGTATACTTTTAGCTCTCATACTTTAGCTGAAATAATAATTCTCATTGCTGAAAAACTTGGCACACCTGGTTTAAAAAAAAAAGTTGTATTTATGCAGTTTTTAAAAGGATATGACAGGAAAAAACAGAGCTAGATAGCTATGTTTGACATGTAAGTACTCTACACATCAAAAATGTAAGAAGAGTCTTCTGCCACAACAAACTGGGTAAATGCAGCAACCAAGCACTACACAGTCCACCATCAGATAGGTCTGTTCCAAAACCAACACCTCTAAGTTGTCACAGAAATTCCTCTTAAGAGGGGAATTTTAACTCAAAACTCAGAAAACAGAAGGATAATGGCTTGACCTTGCAGCACGCATGTATTTGCATTTCCAAACGCGCTGAAGGCCTTGTCTCTGGCAGCCAGGCCAAGGAGCAGGTCCCGCTGGAGGATGCGGCTGTGAAAAGCCCATTGCCCTTCCCAGGGAAGGGGAGGCTGCTCTCCCCTCCAGGGCCCGGCTGCACGCAGTTCCTACCTCCAGGCCCAGGAAGGCCTGCACGCTGTTGGTCCTGTCCAGGCAGTCCAGGCAGTTGGTCCTGACGGTGCCACTCTGGGACCTGCGCCAAGGACAACGGGACAGGGAAACACTGAAACCACTCAGCCAGCACACAGCTCCTCAGCACAGGCAGGCACAGAGCAGCACACCAGGGCACTGTCAGCGCCCCACAAGAACACCGTAAACGTGGCAGCAACACGGGGTGAGCTTCCAGCGCTCACTGAGCACAGCTCAGGCTGTTTCTGCAAATAACAGCAGTCCTCCTGCTTCCCCTGCTCCCAGTCCTTCTTGGTTAAGTGCCATGCGAGATTAAGGTTTCTTTTCAAGCACTTAAACTAACACACTTCCAAAGAACCTCAGAGAGAAATAACTTGTAGTTACAACAAAAATGAAAAAAAACCCCATAAAAACAAACCTACTGAGTCAGTTCTTGAATTTTCTTTAACTAAAAGTAACAGGAATTCATGATCTAACTAAAGCCAATTCCAGTGCCTCAGTACTTGCAGATGAAGATAAAAAACAAGCCTCTCCCCTTTAGCCCAAGGGATGCTTGAGGCCTGTAAGCACTCAGGACTGCTGCACTTCCTTTGGGAAAAGCCCAGGAACTCCTGCTAGAAGCTCTCAACAGGATCATGTTGAGCAGCACCCATGGGCTGCTTGCTCAGCTCAGAGTACAAACACTGATGGCCCTCCCAAGGACACACGTTATCCCCCACTGGTGGCATTCCCACTGCACACCAAAGGCAGGGTGGTTTCAGCACCTTTAGAGACCTAACCAAAAACTGCAAGTTCTGAACAACTTGCTTCAAGATTTTTCCTTTTTAGCATTTGTGTCTCTGCATTTCATTTGAAATACAAAGCAAAAAGCCTGACATTTCCCAAGGGAGACAGTTTATGAACTCACAAGCATAACCACCTTCTATTAACACAACTCCTTGAGCTGTCACAAGCCACAACTCTTTTTTGCTTTCCGTCTGTTGAATTTTCATTTGTGATGGCATTAGTTGAATCCCCCAATTAAAACCAAAATGCCACTTTCAAAGCTTTTTGGAGCTCATCCCCTCATCATTCAGGGAGGGCCTCACTCAGCACCCTGCCCTGCATTAGTTAAAAGGACTAAGGGTGTGGAAGGGAGCAGAGAAGGACTGTTGCCTATTCTATCCCTGCTTCTCTTTTCCTGCTGAGATGAGAACAGTCGTTGCTCCAGGAATCAGGAATAAGGACTGAGCAGAGCAGGATACATGCATCTGAATCCTGCTTGAGAGAATGGAATCTCTCAAACGGGGGATCCAGGCACAGCCAAACCACTGTCCTGAACACAAACATTTACACCACACAAAAACGGCACTGTGGGTCCATCACCGAGGGAAGTGCTCAGCCTGTTACACAGCAAGATGGAAAAAGAGACATTAATTCCATGTGGCTGCCTGCTAGAAAAGGGATCACTGACCCTTTCACAAAATCCTGAGGTGAAAGGCCTGAAATTAATTCCTGCCCCTTGAAAGTCTCACAGAGATCATCTTTAGAGATTTTTAGAGCACACACAGAATGAGACAAGATCTCACCAGAGTAAAACGGTGACTCATAGTTCAGCTGTTAAGGATCACCCAGATACACTAAAACCACAACAACAGACGCAACATGCTTTCTCTTATCTTCCTGCTGAGGGGTGAAACACATCCCAGCACCACATTTTAATCTGAGGAAAGCTGTACACACAAACCTTTTCACTTCCTTCCCATCAAAATAGAAAAATCCACACTCCAAGAATTTCTGGACTTGAGGTTTAAGCACGCTGTGTAGTTTCTCTGCCTTTCCACCTTTAACCATCTGGTGATAGTCAAAGTTCACCATTTTGATATCAGCTGAATGTTCAGATGCTTTCAAATGGCTCTGGCATTGGAAACAGAAAAAAAAAGTATCAATATACCATTACGTGAACACACAGAAGTAGGAGCTAAACAGGAGATTACTAATATTTTAAAAGTGCTTTTATTAGCTTTCTTTTAGGTAAAATGAAACCACTTTTATCACCATTGAAATTAATCACTCAGAACTGATTAATATTTCACATGTGCATTTTGTTTCCCTTGTCACAAAGTCAGGTTTGGCCCTAAGTCAGGTTTGCCCCTTACTCCCCCAGGGGCTCTGTAGGGGCTTCATTGCAAACGAGCCAATTGCAAGGATATGCACAGGGAAAGAACAGCCATACTCACCTGGAAGGCTTTGCTGAGCATGTGCTCCCCTTCCTTTGCCCCCAGTAAATTTACAATAATTTGCTTGCCATATAAATTTTTAAGTGTTTGGAAATGCCTGTTAACAGAAGAAAAATTCCACAGTCATTTTCTGGCACACAAAAATGAACAGCAACACCTGCAACACTGAGAAGCTGGAAAGTATCAAACAAATTTTATTCACACGTGTCAACAAAGCATTGAAAGGCACAAGCAATCCCCACCAAGTTCCCAGCTTTGCTCAATTCCACATTTGTACAGACAAAGCCTCCCCTTTGGAATAACATATCCCATCTCTGTGATGGGATAGAACTTATCAGAGGTTTTCAGTGCATTAGCAGAACTTTGAGATGATTTTACCTGTCAAAAGCCGGTGCATTCGCCTCAAAGCCCCTTGACATCCTGACACGGTGGGATCCCACCTACAACACCAAGAGCACATTCAGTTGTCTTGTTTGGAGAGAAATGCTGCTATGTCTAAAGAACCCAGAGTCCCTGCAAGGCACCAACTATTTTAACCTTTCCTGTGAGAAATGTGCCACAGCAGTAGGAGCCGAATCAGTCCCCCTTTCCAGAACATTGTGATGAAATTGTATTGCAGTAACTCCAGATCCTTACTGACTTCTTGAGAAGACTTCTCCTCAAGAGCAATTCAGAAGAAAACAGCCTTTTTGAATGTCCTTGGATAACCCATTTAAAGAGGAAAAAGAACTTCCAAGAGGAGACATGGAACAAAGAATGGACAAAAGAAACTTTTGGACTTGAGAGAAGCAGGTTTGGTGAGACACAATAGCACCCACATGCTCTCAAGGACCACCTCATCCTCACAGGCAGCTGGGAAGCAGAGCCCAAAGGCTACCGGATGATGTTTAAAAGGACATGAATAACAATTATCTCTATCTCCTGCTCACCTGCAGTCCTGGCTGCTCCCAAAATAATGGAACAGATCCTCGAATCTGTATGAAAGATGACACAGAGTCATCCAAATAGATCACCTGGTAAGGAAAGTAAAGCACAGTATTAATAATTATCACAGTCTAAGATTCTCGAAATCTTAGCTTTACCTAAACATGGAGCAAATACAATATATTTGTGCATCACACGTTCCACACTACAAACTACAACACTGTTTCCAAGACTCTGAACAATTCCTACAACAAATTCCATCACCCTCATGCTCCCCTGCAGAATCCAAATTCACAACGTGTACAGAAATACAGCTTTTATTATTTGGCCTTGAGTAAGCTCTGCACTAGGAGTAGGATGTTTGAAACAACTTGGTAAGACCTTCCTGCAGGAACAGTTAAAATGAACACCAATGCACAGAGAATCACCGTGCAGCCCACTCAGAGCCCTGGCACAGATTTTCTGCATCAGAAACCAACATATCACAGTCCATGAAGTACCCGGGAAAGGAAAACTGCAGTGGAATAACACAGGAAAGGCAAACTGCAGTGGAATAACACAGCACAGCCATTCAGCAACACTGGCACACCAGGAAACTTGGGCACAGCAAGTGTAACTAGGGTGTTGTGACTGAACAACTGGCACTGGAGGTGCACAAGCAGAGCCCTTCCTGCACGGAATCCTCCCTCAGTCACTGGGCTCTGGAAGGAGTCAGTCAGCCAAAGAAACCTGGAAGCACGAACACAGGAACAACCCCTGCAGGAACAGGCTACCAAGGCAAGCCAGCACAAAGGATTTAGCAGGCTCTCACATTTCTGCGTGATGAGGGCAGAGCCATGACACTCCAAGGCAGCAGAAGGACAGTGGCTCTAGAGGCTGCCTTCCAGAGGAGCTGTGCTAAGTGCAATGCTTTTATTTTTCCTGAGCCACAAGGTTCCAGTGTTTTGGTATTTGCCCAAAATCCCTTTTGCCTGTTTCTCTTGCTTCAGATTAGCTCAGGCCAGAAGGGGCACACGCAGCTCCAGGGGCTCAGGGGAAGCACAGCCACCCACAGGAGTTCAGCACCTTCTTAAGCTGCTGCAACTCAGCCCCAGGCATGCCCTGCCATAAGCCACACTAAACACCAAGATCATCAAATCACATAACCTGCTTAGCGTCCTCATTTAGCATCAAAGAAACCATTCCAATACCTGCTGATGCCAGACTTGACCCGTGATACATTGACTTAGAGCAAGAATCTCACCATTGCAAAGACTGAGGGCTTCCACTGCCTTGCCAGCCCGGCTGTGGGCACTGGGCACGCCATACCTGCTCCGTCTCCACGAAGTTGGCCACGTGCCCGTCGTCGTTGGTGCCGCGCACGTTGAAGCGGGTGCCCGCCCGCTCGCAGCTCAGCCGGGAGATGAGACAGGCCTTGGCCTGCTTGTGAGCGGCGTAGATGGTCCTGATCTCCACGCCCCCACACATGAGCCGCAGCAGCCACTCGTCACAGCTCACCCCGTAGTGCTTCAGGTGCAAGTGCAGGGACTGGTTCCTGCAGGGGAACACAGCCAAACAACCAGAGGGAATTGCAACTCAGCTCCAGCTCTTAAGCTAACTCCTTGCATTTCACACCCACTAACACCAATGGGACCAGGAAAACAGGCATGCTACAGTTTTGTGATGTAACTCTCATTAAATCTTCCTGAAATTGCAAATAGCCCAATAAGAAAATGGGGTGAAGCTATCAATTTCCATGACCCTAAAATAATAACCTTCATAGCCCTTGTTTGTCACCCCCAAAAAACAAAACAACACTAAGTTGTTTATACCGCTCTGCTCAGCCTTGTTTGGAGAAGCCAAAGATTACAGACTCCAGGAAAGCAGGACAGGATTCCAGCGACAGGGTTACTTGTTTTGTAGTGTGTAAAGCCCCACACTACCTCACACCACCACAAAATAAAGCCACAATAGAATAGATATTGAATACTCCATTATATGTCATTATTACATGCCACCTAACCCTAACCTGGTCACGAGAGAGGCTCCCAGAAACACATTCCCAGCCAACTGGCTCTCTTCGCTTTTAAACACCAATTTCAGGGCTGGGTGCTGGTACTCCATGTACTGCATACATGACTCTCTAACAGCAGTCACTGCTCACATGAAAGGAAGATCCGCAGTTTGAATGTACCTGCACAATTACCAGCACTAAGCAATGCTGCATTACGCAAGAAAGACTAAAGTTTGGGTTTTGCGAGATTTTCTGTTTGCCTCACTTTAGTGGGGCTTGGCTTTTGATCCTCTTTGGAAACATTCAGTTGTATAAAATCGGAGCAAAGTTTTCAGCACAGCAAAGAAAAGCCAACTCCAGGAAGATGCCTGGTTGTGCCTCTGCCCAGAAAACTCTACTGGAATTGCAAACAGCATGTTCATTCTAAGTCTCTAACGCATTGTAAATCTCTAGCTCTTAAATTTTAGCCTTTTCATCCTAAACCTGAGTATACAGGTGCATTATAATAGTACACACAGCCAAAAGTCTTGCCCTGGGCACTCTGAGCAGGAACACCCCCAGGAAGCTCACTGAGGTGCATATGCAGAATGCTTCCTGTTCTTGACTTTCAGTGCATATGCAAGAATACTCCCTTTTCTTGGCTTTCAGTGGTTGCATTTCTAGACCTTGGAATCTGGACATTCCAGCCACCTCCTGTCAGGACTGGTCCTTGCTCAAAACCCACAGAACAGTGTCACTGCCAGAGTTTTACAGCAGGGGTCAGAAGCAGCCCAGCTCACTTTGACAGGGTTACCAGGCACTGTTTCTCTGAAGCCCTGACTGATCCATGGAGAGCCAAGTTTTTTTCCAGATGCACGGACAAACAGCAAGGTCTCTACAAGCCCTCTAAACCTACATCAAGGAATAATGTTTCTGAAAACCTGAGCTTATTTCCTTCCTTAACAATTTTTTCTTGTATTTGACCAGATTCCTCTACCTGACTGAGACCAAAGAAGCACTGGCTCCTATGCTGGAGCTGGTTGGGTGTATTTTGGCCAGCAGAGGGGAATGGATGTAGCTTTTCACCTGTTCTAACGGTGTAAAGCCAAATCTTCAGCACCCAACCGAGACACCCGGACACACAGAGCATTTTTAGCAAAAGCTGAGGGGAAGAGAATTTCTGACATGTCAGGGTGCATTACTGGCATTATTTAAGTTGCTGATCAACAGAAAGAGTAGTATTCCTCTCACCAAAAATTCTCTGTGATAAAACAATACTTTATTCCAAAAAATCCAGTAAAATGATAGTAAATGCAGCAGCCAAGCAAAGTGCACTTTGTAGCAGAGCCCACCAGCTGTCTCAACAAAACCCGCAATATCACATTTTTTTGAGTAACAAAGCTTTTGAAGTGCTTTCTTATGTTGGAAACCCCCTTGGAATCTATCTACAAACAACACAATTTTAGAAATCAGAATGTTCTAAAAAACAGTAATTTTTTTCCTTTGAAGTTTCATAACCACACCCATTTAAAAAACTGCCAACTGATGAAGAATTAGGAGGCACCAAAACTGAAACACAACATCACAGGCAATGTTCAGATGAAAATACAATACAAGCAGTGAAAAATCTGTGCCTTCCAATTAAGAAGCTTCCAAGCGGTCACAGAAACAGCCTGTCATTAGTAATACACTTCTGCCCTCTGAGCTGGAGTAATGCTAGTCAATGTCAAGGTTTGTGGGAGAAAGGTGCACACATAAGAGCTGGGAAGGACAGGGACAAGCACTTGCCAGGCATTACTGTGCAAAGGAACTCACGGTGTAACGCTGCCGGAGCACTTGTGCACTCACCAGAAGAACCTGTTGTCAGTGGTGTGCTCCTGCATGCTGCGGTGGGCGCTGAGGCTCAGGTCCAGGCTGACCCCCGTGGCAGACCAGGCGAAGTAGAAGCTGCCCGAGTTGAGCACCTTGCGCACCTCGGAGACGCGGTCCTCGTCCGCAGGGTCCGCGCGCAGCGACACGAACTCGGTGCACGTCACCCGGAACACCTCCGAGTCCTGGATCTTGCCCACGGACATGCACCCCGTCACCAGCACCAGGTAGTGCAGCAGCGTGTCCCCTGCAGCACAGGGAGAGAACGCATCTCAGCAGAGCAGGTGCTGATCCATTCCTGTACCAAAGGCTCACAAACCCACCCCAGTGTGCCTGAAAACGTACACAGAGCCAATGCCAAGGAGAAACTACTCCGCAAACAGCAGGGACTGCAAAAACAGAAGCTATTTTTGTCCACTCCCTCATTTCTGGGAGCGCTCCAAATTTGTAAGTTAGTCTGCAAAGAAAAAAATCAAACCAAACAAACAGAAAAAAATAAGCCCAGTTTCTGTTGCAAAGATGCAGCTGCACAGGAGCGGCACAGGGTTGTGCCACAAATGAAAAACACAAGTTTCACATCTTTGACTCACCGAGGTTTAACCTTAGCACGCCCAAGAGCCCGTATGCATCCATGACTTTGGAGTACGTGTTCTTGATTGTGTCCTTTTCTGCAGAGGCTGGGGAGAGGAAATGAAAGATCTGCTGATGTAAAAGCCCCAGCACTATGGCAGCGAGAACGAGACACTCCACACTGAAAACTCCAAACTCAGGGATCACAAAGCAGCTGCTTACTGAGGCTTCTGGAGAGAAATCAAAATGCATGAGCATATGGCACTTGATAATGGAAAATGAGGGGTTGACTCTGTGACAAAGTATGATCGTGCCATGTTTTTCAGCAATAAAAAAGCAAAACTCCAAGTGACATTAAAGGAGAACGCTGGCATTTTAACAACATCATCTCTTGTTATAAAAAGCATGTACAGGACAGAAAAATCAGATGACTGAGAAGGCTCTCCTGTAATTAAAATTAGTGCTTAATGTTGTTTTCTTCATGGAAAAAAATTATCCTTTTTAAAATACCCTTTTTCTCCAAGAATAAAGCCATCATGTGGCAGCGTTATCTCTGCAAAAGACTGCTACAAGTCCATTTTAACTATCTTAGAAATATTCCATGCAGATCAGAACTCTCGCAGGTCCGCAAAAACTGGTATTGAAAAGCCATGTCTTACATGAATGGGGAAGACAATTTCCACAGGCAGTTTTGAAACAGAACCCACAAAATAGCCCTGTCATATTTTAGAAGAAATTAAAGTTGATCTGCCATGGCTCTCCTGGGAGTTCAGTGAATATTTGAGCCCTTCCATCAGCACTGTAACAGCCAGAGCAGCAGATCCCTGGATCCCACCTGGCCTGAGCTTCTGCTCACGACCACGACTGCACCAGGAGGGAACACCAACAATTCCAGCCTGGCCACTGGATCTGCACGGATCAGGATTCCATGGTTCCCAACCATCAGCACCGTTCTGCTTTGGCACTGAAAACCTCAGGACATGACATGGAGAGGAGTAAATCAAAATGCCCATCGGCCCTGGCATTCTGCTGTCCTCCCTCTCACATCAGCTGCATCATTTACAATAAAATCTCTATTTTATTTAGAATAAAAACCCTCTATTTCACCTACAACTGCTCTTCCCAACAAGCATCCCCAAAGATCAGTACAGCCCTGCCTGTGCACAGGCACAACCCTTGTGTTCAAATATCCGCCAGCTCTTTCAATAAAGTGGATCAGACACTTAAAATAGATGAAACAATTATTTAACCACAGCCTGAAATCCAACCCTATTCAATGTTTTATTCAGTGGACTTCTTAAAAGTTTCTTTACCTTATTGCACTAATATTCCTTTAATACAGATGTAATAAAAATAGTTTGATAGCAATATGAAGATCTACTTCTGAAGTCCTCACCCAGTGTGAGTGCTAAGAACCTGCAGCTCATCTAAAAACATGTTGTGAGCATAACCAAACTGCGTTTTTCTTAACCAGAAAACCACTGGGCTGGGAAGAACTCCTAAACCTCAGACCCTAGTTCCTTCAGTCTGTTTTTGAGAACGGGTTTCACGATACCAACGCACTCTTCTAAACTCAGTTCCCAGAAAGCTGCCGTGTTCTCCCTCCACAACTGAAATGATTATGGAAAGATCAGGTTTCCTTTCAAACTTCTTGCAGGATTTTCCTTAGAGGCGCCTGCTGGGATTTTGTGACATGTCAGAACAATGCTTTTTCTGTCCCACGTGGATTTATTCTCTTTTTCCAGTGCAGAGAATGCTGGATATCCTTGCTAAGACTCAAAAAGTAAATTAAGTAACGTGGGCTTTGCAAATTTAGACCAACAAAAAAGGCCCACAAAGGCCAATAGAGCAGCAAAGGGTTGCAAAACCAACCAACTAATCAAATAAAACCAGAGCAGCTTACTGTGGCTGGTCAATTGCTGTTTGCTTAAAGTGCCCAAGAACCAACCAAAAGTGTTTCATGCCATGCTTTTCATTTCCATTGGCCCCAATTCAGTGTGACCTCAAAGCTTTCCCACAGTGACCACCTCAGTGTTTCTCTCACACTGCCTGCACTTTTCCCACCTCAAGTTGTTTTTTAAGGCCAAAGTTCACATGACAAAACGTCAAATTTGGCACCATGTCCTCCATCCGGCCCTGGTCCATGCCCACCAGGCTTCTGCTTTCCAGGCAGTGCCCAGTGAGGAAGTTGCTGTGGTCAGCAGTGTTACAACATCCAGGAAAAAGCACTGCAGCTTCTGCAAACCACGATGGACTCGGGGAGACACAGCTCCACCACACTCCTTCCCTTTCTCCTCCCAAGGACTCCTACCCAGCCTCCTGATCAGGCCAGATCTGCTCTCTGAGAGCCCAAGGCACCAGTCCTACTGACCCCATCTGCAGCCCTCCAAAAACAGAAAGGTTTTATCCTTGCAGGATCACTGTTGGGCACCACCAAGGAACCCAAACCAAACTAACAAAAAACTGCACAAGATAACAACACTTGCAAAGTGATTTTCAAATCAATTTGTAATGTACTCCAGAGAAAACCCAATCTGCAGTGTCAAGAGAAAAACCACAAAATTTCAAGTCACTATTTAGTAAGGATTAACAGCCAAGAG